ATCCAGAACAGGTATTCTATTCATCTCAGAACTGGAGATATAGAATATCACATTTTTAGAACAGACGTTTACCAGTGTTTAAAACTGTTTATAAATTTAAGCCCTACAAGTAATTTGGCAGTTTGTACTTAGTCAAACTTGAATCTTGCAATACCACTAAATATTCAGAGCATTTTAAACCAACTATCGAATTACAAAACGTGATGACAGTTTGAGTGCCTTCCTTGAGGAGCAATTACTTACTTAATTTCTTTTTCATTTAAATCGTCTTATCTAACAAATTTCTAATTTTAGTTACTTCTGTTAAAATGTACAATAAATAACATACGTAAAAACCTATGTTGGTTGTCCAAAAATAATTTATGTAGCTTTCAAATATGCACTTTAGAACAAAAAAATATCGGGTATTAGAATAGAATGTCTCAAAACTAGTATAATTTATCTGGCTTTCTACTAACCTATAAATATCTTGCAAAATCCATTACTGCTCACATCAACGACCTTAACCTAAACACACCAAGCTCGCTCTGTGAAATAGACGCTTTTAACGCAAAAACAAGACAATCATTCGATTTATTTAATCTAGAATATACCCTTTTGTATTGGTCAAAAACAAGACCAATAGCAATGTCTGAGACTATTACAAACATTTCATTAAAAAAAATTGTATATTGGAGGGGTATGGCAATGTGGGCTGAACAAATATAGCGATACCTTAGTAAACCAAGATGTTAAAATTTTTATCTGATTTGTCAATACATATATAGTTTTTTTTTATTGGTTGAACAATCTGACGCCCTTATAAAGGAAGAGAAAAAATTTACAAACCAGAAGTCAGAGCCTAGCTCTGTAATATGACTCAGAGGTGCAGATTGAGAATTTATATAAATATTTCCTTTTGAAATAAAATAATATAAAGATTTGAATTATAAACTATTTTTGATACCCAGTTTATTAGTGTAAAATTATAAGTTTTTTAATCTATGAATGCACTTTGACCACCCATGTCCAGAATGTTATACAGTGGTTGCATTATAAGAATGAGAGTCAATACTTCAGTTTGGACAGTTGACTGGGTGCCTTCCTTGAAGTTAGTAGTTGGGGATGGCCACATACAGCCTTATTAGTTTTGCATAAATTCAAAATAAAGTTTCTAATTAATTTGTCATTTCTTGGAATCATATGATTAACCTCAATTAACTGATTTTTTTAGGATATGGAATTAAAACCAATGGCAATATAAACTTGTTCAAATGGCACCATTTATTTTGTGTTTTTACATAATGTGAAAACTGCTATCTCAGTATTTACTCTTAAATATCATTGATTGCAGAAATGCTTCAAATGGACATTTTATGACCTCTGACATAAAATAAAAATATACATTTACTTCCTTTTTTTTTTTGAAAAAGTGTTTTCTTTACTTCTTTGCATGTTTTTTTTAAATGCAGTGTTTTAGTAAACGTAAAAAGGTAGTATTTATAACCAAGTTCTAAATAAATTGAGGTTCCAACTCTAAATTTAATCATTAATCTATTATTGGCTGGTAATTCTTGTTTCACCCTGTACTTGAGCTTTTTAAAGTAACACCAAATTTCTGTAAAAAAGCTAACTTGAAGGAGAAATGATAACCTTGTTTCCACCATAATTATGATATTTTTTTAATTACTACTAGTTATTAATAATACTTATAAAAGTGGATAGTTTGTTTGAAACTGTCATCTCAGTGAAATTGATTGATACCATCCTTTTGGTTTTTGAGTTTTGTAATAAAAAAGAAGAACAAGAAATTCAAACTTCTTGCTACAATAATCACAGACATTCCCAGAATTTGTGATTATCATCACATAGATATTGTTATAAAAGGAAACACTATATAGTATTCCAAAGTTCTGATGATCTAATGAGATACTTAAAATACCATTTTGCTAAACAAATCAAGCCATCCCTACATATGCAGTGCTACCACCTGCCTGATAATGGCATAGAATTGCCATTTGACAGCCTTAAAGCCCAAAAACTAAATAGAGCTTGGGAACATGCACTTTCAAATTCAACAGTCAAACTGATTAATAGCAACTTCTGAGTGATAGTAAATAAGTATCAGCCAACTACTCATTTTCAAATTCAACAGTCCAACTTATTAAAATGTACTTCAAAGTGAAATTAATTGTATAATAATATTCCAGCCACAGTATATCTGATATATCCACCACTGTCAAATCCCAATACCAGGACTCTTCAGGCTGGTTGGGATATAATTACGGTTGAAACACTAGTGATATTATTATTATTATTCAGTTGGTGAAGTGTAATTTTATTTATGTCACAACATATCAGAATTAAGGTAAGAATTTTTTAATAGATATATTATACTTCCCTTGAATTAACCCATTCATTGTTTAGAAGACTCAGCAAACCAATCTTGATCGCAGAGCAGGTCAAGCAACTACAGCACCAATGAGAGAAAAATACATTCATAATTTATTTATGAGTGAAAGTTGTACTTTAAACCAGTATTTAAATTTGAAATTATACCGAAATGTAATAGCTTATGGTCATTTATAAATTTAATATCAATTTTGTAGGCTTGGAATACCAAGAGTACCTTTGTGGATTTGTCCCTTAATGTGTAAAAGAATTTACCATCAAACATATATCATATACAACATTTCAAATGGTGTATGCACAGTCCTTAATATCATTAGAAACTTTTCAGGATTGTAGAATATGTACTTGGTAGACTACCTGCTGCCATCGAGTCAACAGTACCCTGCCACTCAAGCAATAGGATTGACTGTAACTTTTATAATATACCCACAGCTTAAATTACAGGAAATATTATGCAGTATTACATGGTAATGAACCTGGCTCACCATCTCTGAAATTGAGACACTGTTCTTAGTTCCTACAATCCAATTGCAGTTACTTAATCTTCAAATAACTTAGAAACAGCCACATCTCAACCCGTTTCATTCAGCTGTACCATTGTTTTTTAATATAGTTGCTAGGATTTTTTAAACTATTTGTAAATTGGGGGGGGGGGGGGGGGGGGGGG